ACTAACATCTAAGGTACAGGCTCGGCCTAGTTTAGATGTTAGTATTTATAAACTGTGTGTCTAATGTTTTTGTTACAATAAACACTTTTATTTTATTTACTTTTATTAAAAACAAGTATTTCAATATTAAACGACATGATGTATCACCACGAACAAACACCGTCAAATCAAGGGCTTCGTTTACAATAATTCCACCAGCAAACATTACACAAACTAGGCAGTAACTTTGAATTAGATCACATAATACACAGCCTAGAACCTAACAATGCTAGAATTATAACGATTGTGTCTCTAAAACGAGGTTACGATCACTGAAGCCTGGATAAACACAACTACGTTGCGAAAACCAATTCGTACGACGCTCCATTGAAGATCTGCTGCCGATTGAGATTGGTTTACAAATAACTTAGAAGCTAGGTCTTATGTCGAAAACTATAAGACGAGTTGGTCACTGACCCGTGTCGAAAAGATTTTAATAGACAATGTCTGTAGGAATGGAATGACGAAGTGATAACCTAGGTAGTAAAGTGAGGTAGTCTGGTTAGATTGAGAAATATTGACGTATTTTATTCTTCTGATTACTATTACTTACTAGCATCATCATGCCCGGTCATGATAGCCCGGAGGTTAAAATATCCACTTTTTATGCATGAGAAGTAGAAGAGAAGAAGAAGATAAACGGTGAATGATAACATCGTGAGGGAACCTGGACTTATAATTTAAATTTCTAGTTTGAAATCGCTAGTGATTAATGCTCAAACCTTCTCCGCGTGAGATGAGGCTTTGCTCAGTGGGCACTAATAGGCTTTTGATGATTAGCATCTGCCAGCGGCTTCGAATGCTTTCCTTTGTATAAAAAGTAGCCAATGTATTATTCCACACCAGAATCTACTCCTGTCTCAAATGTCATCCCGATCCCTTCACCCGTTTTGATGTAAAGAAGTAACAAAAGACAAACAAACATACAAACTATCGCATTCATAATATTAGTAGGATTTAGAGCTACCTATGACATATTAAAATGGAATGACAAACTTACTCTTCATCACAAATGTGACTACGTAGGTACTTGATAAAAGCAGTCTGGTTATAACCACTCTATAACCAGCTAGATAAAGAGTTAAGGAAGACACTGTTTTATGGGAAATTATGAATATTCCGTATATCCTAGGATTACTTACTACTTAGTTTTTTACAAAGTTGCCAAGGCTGTTGATTTAAGGAAATGCTTTGGTTATGGACTCATTAACTAAAGTGCACATTTCCTTTTTATTTACCGAGCTCAAAAGTTGTTTGTAGTCTTACAAAGAATATAAATGATGAAAATACGATTTATTATTCCGATATCTTGGTTATATTTTTGTGTATAAAATTTATACTTTATCTTAAACTGCCTCGTTGGCCGAGTGGTCACAAGTGCGAATGCTGGGCAAGGGGTCTCAATTCCCGGGTCGGGCAAAATATTATTGGGTTTTTTAAATTTTCGGCAGTAGCACGGAGTCTGGAATTGTGCCCGGTATATGGCAATAGACTCTCCCCCTATTACATGGGACTCATAACTTAAATAATGAAAACTGGATGTTGCATGGTGCTGACAGCTAAAAGGCGTGATGATGTTATGTTATCTTAAAAATAGACGAAATGGAAAAACCGAGTCGTTAATTAATTACACATGTGATATTATCTTCTCGGAGAATCCGAGTGCAAGGTCCATCTCTAAAAAACATTTATTTTATACTAAACTTAATAATATACCTAAGAGGTGTATCACAAAAAGTTATAGTTTGGAAAACCCACGCCCCATAATCAAATTAACACATTTAAACTAATTATATTTGATTGTCTATTTGAATATAACTAAACACTATATTACACATAAACGTATCGTTTTCGTTAGGCAAAGTGAATATATACAATGTAACTTTTCATTAGCTCTATATGTAACAAGGGATAAACCATATATGAATATACTGTTATGCTAATACATAGTTCCCAATATACATTGCCATATATTGGAAACAATATCATACTAAGAATAAGTACATGTAGATCCCAGAGACCTCTCGCTCGATCAATGATCTAGGGCAGTGTTTAAATATAAGTTTCCTTAAACGTTGTAACGCACTAGCATTTTCTCCTGGATGCATTACAAACATATTCACGTACATATTACTACACTCCGAAGTATAAAAACAATTTGTGGATCACATAAAGAGTTGAAACGTGCGGAGATCGAATCCGCAACACAGTTAAAAAAATACGGGCCTTCTTTAAGGACCCCTTAATCATGGAATGACATCTCCCACCTGGGTGAAGCGAGAGGGAGCATCAGACTCTTACTGACTAAAAACCAACTCGTTCCGGAGCCCCGATAACCTTTTACGTTCAGGTCTACGGACCTGTAATATTCAAACTCTTAAATTAATTAGTTTAAGTTGAGAAACTATCAAACTAGTACATTGGTCGCGTCGTCCAACAGTTTGGCAATATTCGTCAAAGCAATTCTATTTTGATCACTAATCATTTTGCAACGTCAGTCAGTTTCACTGTTAACTTCACTGATATTGCCTGTTCAGTGTTTACTCTAGTGGAAATTAATATTTCAGTAACAACTTTATTGAGTACTTCTCAAGGTCAATTTGTACATCTTAACCCTTTGAGTACCGTCATTAAAGCACAATAGGTTGCGGTCACCGGTGTCCTCGCGGTGTTTGACAGTTTAATTGAAGTTAATGGTTAAATCCCGTCATCTTAACCTTTGGGAACTAAGTTATGTGCTAGGTATACATAGGTATGTAGAGTATGTCGAAGGAGGTATTTGATCATCCGTTGACCTCTTTCAGCTTTCAGGATAGCTGCCAAGCTAGTAGCTGTAGTTGATTTTAGCGCCGTCAATAGTAGAACTACTGAACTCTGGGTTTGCAAACAGTGCATTTGCATGCGAATTTTCTAGTAGGTATTCAAGTTTTAGTCTAAAAATGACTTTTAAGTTATTCTTCGTAAAATTTTCCAGTATTGTAAATTATAACTACATGGGTATGCATGAAACACTATCGGTGACATAGGTTGCATAGATAGGGTGTAACATTCGTCAAAATTATGTTCATGTCACAAAATGACAACAACTAGATAAGATGTTAGGTTTTTAGGTCATGGAATGTACCTAAGTCACATTAGCAAGAATATGTCGTCATTCCTAAGGGGGTTGTGAATGGCAGACGATATTCATCCATATTGTAGCGATCCCAGAAACAAAAACTAATTGGGAAAAGACCAGTAGAACTTCCTGTCAAAAGTTCATCAAATCAAAATATAATAGTTCTTTTTCGCCAGTTGTATTACAAATCCCATTATCACTATCACAGACATGGATTACGTGGGTATCCCGTGTGAGGTGAAGTATGACTCAAAGACATACCAACTATCATATCGATGTTCGTGAAATGAAAACAGTAATCGATTTTCGACTATTCTTTATGAACGAGTAAGAACAGTAGGTACTCACGCGCACGGCGCACACGCATTGTTTATGTTACGTGCGCTATCACAATGAGTGATGTCGTCTTATTGTTTCGGTCATTACTACCGATCCCGTAGTATTGAGAGACACGCTCACTGTTACAGTATTACATCACTGTGAAGTAATACTGCTGATGTTACTTGTGTGATCTTTATTACTGCATGTTATTAATGGTGCTTCCGACGCTGACCATTCTTGAAGTCATGTTCAGTAGTAGATGGCTTGTGTTCTGCATTTGATGTCTATATGACGAAGATGGTGAGAGTTGTATTATCTCTAAGGCAGACTAGGCAATTGACTAGGAGGATGACAGGTTAAAGAGGGACACCGCGACGTCGCGAAACGAAACGCGCGTGGCTATAGTACTATTGAGTATTGAGTAAGGGGTGTGCCAAAATAGATTAGGGGCGCCAATGAGCTGGTCGCCTAGGGCGCTATCTAGGTTTAATCTGTCTCTGATGATCGTAATTTACAGAAGCTAGAATTTGTCTTTGGAACTTTAGAATAATCCATAGATTTGTGACTTTTTACTAATCGTAAAGTTCAAGTACGGTATATATATAGTTAAGACTTTGTATCGTTGTTTTAGTACATGCCATACATATTAAATGTTAAATTATATATGAACAATAATAAATAATCATAAAAGTTATTAAATAAATTAATCAACATATGTCAAATTCATTGAGTACATGATAATAATGTAATTACTACCTACTTGTAAAGTTCACACCACATTAAAAATTTAATATTTCTGTAAATCACCGTGAATATTTAATATTCATAAATCAATTTATGATATCGTTTATGATGTATTGCAATTTAATTATTTGGTACATGGGACTCGTACATAATTTGTTTTTTTTAATGTAAATACTTTACGCACATAAAATATGCATAGGCCTTATACGTACTGGCCAACAAGTATACAATTATGTGCATGTTCACCTTATTTCTTTGGGGATTAAAAAAATGAGGTTATTATTTAATACATAAAAAACATTCTGAACATAATTCAAAATCCTTTTTAATTATAAGCATTAAATAATTAAACAAAATTACGTCGATTATTAACTTAATTAATCGCTAACTACTTTAATTAGTATTTTAAACATTAATTTAAACTTATTATGTTCGTATGTATGAGCGCGTTTATTTTATGGGTTTATAATAAAATTACGATGCAATGTAAATTCTTTGTTAACATGAAATAAGTATATTTTTATTCTCATTTTTATAACTAAAAAATAACAGCTAAAACGATTTGAATGACTTAGATAATTTGGATTATTTTAATTACAGAATTATTAGTCAAACTTCGTTATAATAAATGTACTTATATCTATTCTAGGATGGTATGAAGATTCCACAATAGTTAGTAGTAGAAGTTGTGGTTAAAAATACTAAAACTCTATAGCCAAGCAGTTATTATGATGACGTGAAGTAAACACTGGTATTTAAAGTTCATTTTCCTTTTTCCAGGTCAAGGATATAGACGCGGAGAGTAATCACTCCGGGAAAGTTACAACGAGCTCTATGGAAGAAAAATTGTAAGTACATTGCATTGTTCTCCTTCAATCTATTTTATCTAAATAATATTTTATTACCATAGTCCTACGGTACAAATTCGATTTGTCGTATTTGACCGAGTGTCTGTAGTATTTTGCGAAGCGATAATTTATACGTATGTCGCCATATTGTCTACCGTTAACAGAAATAAAAAGTTGCCAGTTTTTATAATTGACCAGTTTAGGAGACACTCTCAGTCTAATGTTATTCTTACCAATCATTATTTTGTTTAAGTCATGATGAAGATACTAAACTGGATGATATTTATTTATTTATTTATTTACACTTAAATGCACACAAAATAAGGTACATAAGGCGGACTTAATGCCATATGGCATTTTCTCCCAGTCAACCTTTGGGTTAAAAGTAAGCTTAGCGAAAATGGGCTTGTGTAATAATTATGCAAAAAAACAAAATAAATAACTAATAGCAATAATAAATACTGTATAACATAATGTATAAAAATATATAATAAACACAAAACAATTTACAATATTTTGTGCGACCTTGAGCAGATATTACAGATACATCGATCGATTCCTATATGTATTTATTTTGTAGTATTTCACATTTTTTTTCTCTAACATTACATTCCACTATTATTGCAATGTAATTAGTTACTCTGTTCCATTCATAACCCTACAAACGACACCGATCTAGTGCACTTTTCTTACACAGTTGTCATTATAGCTACTAAATAAAAGGTTACAAAACTGAATGCAGAGCTCTCTTGCAATATCTGATTGTACCTGCAACAGTAACTGTTGCGCAAACAGTTATGTTACATACATACTGTATATAACATGGATTGTCGAAATAATTGGCGCGAGCACTTAATGAGAAAAAGTTCGGGAATGTCTGTCGTTATTTTGTATAGGCGGGACTTTCGTTGTAAGTGAGGTTCCGTACAGAAAATAATGATATTACAAATGAAGTCTGACGCCTTAGTACGAGTTTCATTTACGTTTAAAGTATTCGTACGAGTACGCGTTCGGCGCTCTGATTGGCCGGCGCCAATGAAGCAACCAATCAGAGCGCCGACCGCGTACTCGTTACGATTACTTTAAACGTAAATGAAACTCGTACTAAGGCTTCTGATTGGCCGGTGCCAATGAAGCAACCAATCAGAGCGCCGAACGCGTACTCGTTACGATTACTTTAAACGTAAATTAAACTCGTACTAATACCTCTGTTAGTAAAATCGAGGCGATGTAAGTTGTAGTTTTTGTTTTATCAGTAAAGTAAGCTAGTATTGTAAAGAGAATTTGTTTGTGAGTTTGTACCACAAATGTACCAAACCTCCTAGATTCATTTTGATCGTTCTTCCACTAATAGAAAACTATTTGATCAAGAGGTAACAATAGGCAATTATTTACTCGTACGACACTGGGACAGACTACGACATTTAATCTCATTATTATTTCCTTTTTTTTATTTATATACTTGACTTATACATTTTTAAATATTTGATTATAAATTAAACATTTAAAATATAATCTCATTATTATTACACGGCAAAAATACTGTATTTATCTTAACAGAAAAAATAATAAAAGTATATTTAATAACAACACTTTTTTTAATATACCCAACACTATCACTATATGTAATAGAATCCACGACCCTCTATGAAGGTTTTAGTATTGTCTACGAGACTACTGGCGACAAGTCAAGGTGATAATTTTTGACTTATCTTGATAATGCAACTACCGTACGTCCGGTTTTATATTGAAGTGTGAGGAACCCTGAAAACCGTTGTTTTATGGTATAACCTTAGCTATCACGATTGAGTTCTGATTTCTTGAAACTCTTGGAAGTGCGTTTTAAATTCCAAAGGGGAATAAAACTAACTGTACTTTTATTTTATTCAAAGTGGTTTTTAAGACTGCTTTCTTTATTTTATTCTAAGTGGTTTTAAAACTGCCTCCTTAGCCGAGTGGTTGCAATTGTTACTGCCGGGCAAGGGGTCTCGTGTTCGATTTCCGGGTCGGGCAAAGTTTTACTGGGCTTTTTTTTAATTCTGATAGATTTTTTTACAATTCCAGACTCCGTAGTTTGGAATTCCTACTATTACATGGGACTCATAACTAGGGTTGCCACCCGTACTTTATAATAAAGTATTGTACGTTATTTAAGGTAATTGTACTCTATACTTTATAAGAATAATGAAGTACACGAAAATACTTTATTTTCGCAAAATTTGATATCGATATTTATCGACTTATGTTGAATCGATTTCGCCACTCGCCAGCGCCACTTAGACAATTTCTAGTAAAGATACAATTGTTGAGTAAAGATACTAATTTTATACAAACTGCAAAATGCAATAAAAAGTATATTTTTAAATATAATACTAAAAAAGAATAAATTGTACTTTATTTTTGTACTGTGTACTTTTTTTTCTTACCTATAATCGTCAAAGTACTTTAAATACCAAAATAAAAGGTGGCAACCCTACTCATAACATACATAGTGAAAATTGTGTGTTACATTGTACAGTGCATAGTGCTGTAATGTGCATCTTTGCCAATCCCTTCGAGGAAAGAAATTACATGTGATTTTATGTTATTAATATGTGATTTTGAAGAGAATTGGGTTTCTGTATCCGTCGTGACCGTGTTTCTGATATTTATTTTATTGACACCTGATTTTTTACATTTAAGACCCGTTAAACGCATTTCCTAAATAAAAAAAGAAAGTACCGTAATGTAAATGTTCATTTCAGTCAATAAATAACATCAGTTAACTTGCAGATTATTACTTTTAATAAACGTAAGATTTTTAATGCGTTTGGCTTAGTTTATAAAAATATCCAGTTTTTGTAAAGACCAATTAAAATAAATGCTTTGACTTTACCAATTTACCTTACGTTAAACTTGAACTATTAGAACTTGTAAACAATAATTTAAAAAAACACAGTCGAATTGAGAACCTCCTCGTTTTTTATGAAGTTGGTAATTAATCTTATTTGATGACGATACATTGAGGTTTATATTTAATACCTATCTGAAACTAAAATTTAATTATATTATTTCTTTGTTTTTGTATCCTTACTAATATTATAAATCGGAAAGTGAGTTTGTTTGTTTGTTTGTTTGTTTGTTCCGCCTTCACACCGTAACTACTAGACCGATTGCTTTGAAATTTTGCAGACGTAAAGTTAGAAGTCTGGATTCTAACTTTACGTCTGCAAAATTTAATTGTTATCCCGGAAAAAATTGATATCGAGGGAAAATGAAATTATTCGTATAGATGGCGCTGTGTGTATTGGTATATGTCACATAGGCTACTTTTATCCTTTTGTGACGCGAGCGAAGCCGCGGGTAAAAGCTAGTAACAAATATTTACAATTAGACAAAGATAACTGTTCTTTGTGTAACAATTCGTATGACTCAATGTTTGTCACATAACGCGATACTTGATGCAAATCTCTATTGTTGAGATATTGCATTATGTGACGAGTGACAATTCATGTAAATGATACCTTCATGATTTCTACATAAAGTTGAATTTATGAATAAATACTGAATGACATAAGCCAGCTTGTTTCCAAGAAACTAGGAATAGTTTAACTAGTCGTAATCGTAACGCTTTATGGGTGATCCTAAAACCTGAATCACAATTGACTCAGTCAGACTCAGACTCAGTCAAAAGTACACATTATACGCAAGGTTGGATTTTTTAAATAAATAATAATATGACAAAAAAGGTTTAACAATTTTTTTCCTTAATTATTATGTTTTCGGCTTACTCACGTAACTATTTGACGAGGAACTCAACTAGATTCAAGCCATGCTAGAGGCTCATATACATGAGCAGCATTCCGCGACACGCGTCGCGGCTACACGTTTATTTATTTCTCAAAATACACTTCGATCCTGTTTTCATACTTAGCCACTTCATGACTAATTAAACAATTGAAATGAAATGGTCTTACTATAAAATGAATCTATTATACTCATCCTGTACCTAACACTATTGACAATTCATAACACAAAATAACATTATTCAACTTTATTAAACATCGAAGCTTTTTGATGCTGAAATATAGGAAGTTGCCTCAGGTCGCGACCGCAGTTATATTATAACGCAGCCTCATCTTATACAACTAATAACACAATAATACTTTACTTACATCCGCGGAATGTTTATTGCTTAACTTGGGAAATGAGAAAGTAATAACTTTGACAATAAAATTGATAGTCTGTTAACTGGTTATAAAACAATGCTGTTGTTAGGATCTTATGTCGGTTGCATCTATAATATAATAATTTGTGTTATAAAGCTAAGAAGTTTTATAGCATTTTAAATAATCTCCTTCTTGTTGTTTTATTATCATTTTATGTATTAATGCATACACGTAACAAGATTTATTAACAACCAATACAGAAGTTATATAATTATAATAATTATTGAAATGTTATGTTATTAATTAGTAACGTAAGAATATTGTTAATAAACTCTTATTATATCATGTTAACAATACATTAGTCGGATCACGGAAATGGATATAAAAATTATTATCGTTGTAAATAATATTTTATTACTGAAATAAGTACTTTTTTGCGTACTAGTGGAGTGTCGCGGTATAATTCGAGTGCTATTTATTTTTGTAAAAATAATTAATCTTATAATTAACGGATAAAAAAGTATATTCGACTAAATTAATTATTATGTTTTCGGATTATTACTCACGTAAACTGTTCATGAATATGAGCCTCTAGCATGGCTTGAAATTAGTCGAGTTCTTTGTCAAATAATTATGTGAGTAAGCCGAAAAATATAATAATTAATTTATATATGTTTACCTTTGTGTTGTATGTGTGTACATTAATAATAAATAAATATAAATATTCGACTTGATACAGTTGTGCTTGTGTTATGAGATTACTTATGTACCTACTTAGAACATTGTCGTTTTCTAACCATTACATTTTATTAAAATGTTTTATGCATAATATTTTTTAATTTTTAATGTGAC